TATTCCCTGGCCCCAAAAGTCGCTTAGAAAACGATTTTTGTTGCCCCCCTTCGGGCACTACTTTAAATTTACATGAATCTATAAATTTTTATACGCTGAGTTCGAATTCACTTGTTGTCACTCGCACAAACCTGCAGTTTTTTTTGTATTTTACGATCAAACATCAACATTTTTTATTAAAATTTCCGCCATTTTGTTCAGGAAACTTCATGTTATATACAGTTATTGTACTAGTTCAAGTCTCTTAGCAGGGGGGTTGCACGCGGTATTACGAATTTTTTATCATTCTTCTGAGGAAAATATACAGAAATAAATAAAAATATAGATATGTTTCCACAATATTAAAGTGCGAAAGGTAATAATACATGTTTGTAAATAATCAGGAACTAATCTACTGTTCTTGTCATCCATAAAGACTCACTTGTCCTTGGTAAAGTTGTTTATTTTATTTATTATTGAAATTTTAGCCTTGCAATGTGAATAGGCAATTTTCCTGGGTATTGTCTACCTGAAATTTTTGTCAACAATAAAGTTTTGAAGGTTTTATCCCTCAGAGAGATTTCAAAATAAATTTTAACTTTGAAACTTTCTAATCGCCTAGGCGAGCCAGCCCAGGTAACCCGAGTTGATTTCATCCCAGCCAAATCAGATCATTGGTATCACTGCTATAAATACAGTAGTATAATATAATATTTTTTACTTCTCAAGATCTTGCCTAGACAGGCCAGCCCAGTTCCATATAAATGCAAGATGAATATTAGTTTAAATTACATAGCGACGTTAGATCTTGGCAAAGCGAGCTAGCTCGGGTATCCGGCTGGCTTGGGTACCCCTAAAGGAAATGAAGAAATGTTATTTACATCAATAGATTGATGTGAATAGAGTATTATTTAATGCCCAGCTGTTATCCAAGATCTAAGGCATGGAAAAAAGAGTCTTGGCTAGGCAGCTGGGCTAGCCCAACTGGAAAGATTAAGGTTTATGTAACTAATGCATATTGGTATGTAGGTATAGTGATGCCAGATTACTTTAAATTTCTAGGGCCTGCCTGGCCAAATATAAATTAACAAATTATCCCTTCTCCAAGTGCTTGGTAATGAGTGGCAGCTCAAATAGGATTAGAGCTTATTAAGGTGATGATTTATCATGACAATATGTTGTTAAAACCTCAAATAGCTCGACCAATTCATGTCTCTGGGTGGCATGACTTTGAGATTTGCTTGTGTGAATATAATTTTTTGCTTAGTACCTTTGTTCCAGCAAGCCCATGCATATGCTTGCCTCAACAGTGTCATATAAATTGAAACACCAAGCAAGCTTCTTGTATTGTAGCTGTAATCAATTGGGGCTATGTCCTGTATGGCCACCATTTGCTAATGTAAATACTTTAATAACAATAAAGTGATTAAAAAATATGGCTAATCTAGGCTGGGTTAACTCCATATAAACAGACCAAAAGTAGGCTGTCAGTCTGTCTTAGAGTGAAAGACATCTTCCAAAAGTTTTTTTTATAAAGCTCAATGTCATGATAGCAAAAATTTTATTATAATACAAGAAAATGGAACATACCATAGTTAATAGAATAGATGGTTTGGAAACTCATTAGAATAACATTATAACTCATCTATGTTAGTCAACGTTTACAGAGGTGTAACTTAACACTTGCCCGGGGCAAGGGAATATCATGACGGGCAAGTAAACGTTTTATCTTGTCCGATTGGGCAAGTTGCCTCTTGCCACAAAAAGCTCGGCTTTCATTATCGGATAATTTTTTATGGCGCATGTACTTGATTCAAATTTTGTTTTTTGTGGGCCAAAGCTAGATCTAAGGCAGTATAACATAGCCATATAGAGCAGTGGGAGAATGAGTCGACATGTTGACCCCTTGATTTATGCCCCCTGGCAAATGAATTTTATTCAGGGCAACTAATTTTCATGTCCAATTAACTTGCCCTGAGAGCAAGTGGTCAAAAAAGTAAAGTTACACCACTGGTTTATTCATAAATCTGGTCTCTGTATTTTTGCCCAACTAACCAATAGCAATGTATTAGGAAAGTTACCTATCCGTGACTCGAACAATAGGGTAAATTGAAAATTGCAAGAATACAAGGTGGATTTGGCAAGAATACAATACACACGAGGATGAAGGACCAGATTTATAATAAACGTTGACTAATATAAATAATGAGTTTCAGCCAAACCTTCTATTCTATGAGCTAATTTGATTGAGGTCAACTGCTACTAATGGGCAATGATCTATTTGTGTTAATAAATTATCTAGGTGACTAGGTCTAACATTTTATACTAAACAACAAATAGGTCTAACATTTATTAATTAAACAACAAGTATATTGTGCTCCTTATTCATTGTTAACAAAAATTTGAAAGAAAAATTGCCTATTCACATTGTAAGGCTAAAATTATGTACATAATTTCAGTAATAAATAAAATAAACAACTTTACCAAGGACAAGTCAAGTGAGTCTTTGTGGATATAGTGACAGTCTTCGAAATTTCACATCAAGGTGAGGCAAAAAACCCAAAAGTTGGTGCAAAAAACCCAAAAGTTGGTGCAATAAAGAATAGTAGATTAGTTCCTGATTATATACAAACATGTATTATTACCTTTTGCATTTTAATATTGTGAAAACATATCTATATTTCTATTTATTTCCGTATATTTTCCTCAGAAGAATGATAAAATGCGTAATACCGCGTGCAACCCCCCTGCTAAGAGACTTGAACTAGTACAATAATTGTATATAACATGAAGTTTCCTGAACAAAATGGCGGAAATTTTAATAAAATATGTTGATGTTTGCTCGTAAAATACAAAAAAACTGCAGGTTTGTGCGAGTGACAACAAGTGAATTCGTACTCAGCGTATAAAAATGTATAGATTCGTGTGAATTTAAAGTAGTGCCCGAAGGGGGGCAACAAAACTGAACGAAAAGCGGTCAGGGAATACGGCCTAGTCTTAAATAAGTGAAAGTGTGCTAATCATCCTTACTTGCATGCAGTTGAGAGCTCAGCTCAACATGGTGGAGGACGCAGCTCAACATGGAGGACGCTGCTCAACATGGTGGAGTCGATGGCTTTCTATAAGGACGCCTCTAACTGCTACTGTTCACTCATGTCAGATCATTTGGAGCACAGCTTCTATGACTCATGTCAGATCAAGGAGCACAGCTCCGATCATGTCAAATCATAGACAATCCAAAAGACAGTGGATTTTGGATTGTCTATGGTCAGATCAAGGAGCACACGTGCGTTATTTTGGTATGTATTCCAACTAACACTGTGAACATTTCCTGTGAGAGGAAACCTGAGTACCCGAAAAAACCCACGACTCTCGGTAGAGCATTGACTGACTCGCGGCAAGAATCGAACCGGCACCTTTGAAGTGAAAGGCGCTCGCTCTAATAATTGCGCGACTGACATCCCATGGTATGGCATTACTACATTGTAGCTCACACAATTGACTTATAAACGAGTATAAGATTACGAGTGGTGGCTTCAATGACAAGAAAAACCTTGTTGATGCAAAAATATAAAGAATTTTTATCTGAATCTGACCTGCAGTGCACAATAATTGGTCCAGATTGTTCCATATGATGTGTTCTGAAATGTCTTCTGAAAGCCAGGATTTGAGTGGGATATTTAGGTACACCGTGATCAGGCCAAGATTGAAAGAAGTAATGTCGCACTTCGCGTTCTTCTCCGTCCTAAACAGCGTTATTTAAACAGAGGTACAGTAGTTAACTTTTACTGCAAATGTTAACGAGAAGGCGTTATTTATGTAAAAACATAATTTTTAGATACGAGATAGATATAAAGATACGAGTCGAAGCCGAGTATCTTTAGGTCTGATAATACACGCACTGCAAATGTTTTAAATTGCTTCAAAAATGATCGATCTAGTAAGTTCATTGGCGAAGTAATATTAAAAAAATACGTTGTGTTAATCGAGAAAATCAAAGTTAAAGTTTATGTAAATCAAGGGAAATCTCTATCACATATAAAGATACGACACGCTTATGACTTTTCTTTGTGTTTTCCTCATGAATTATTAATGAGTCTCTAAAAGTAATTTAACACGTAGCATAATTATTTTTATCCGGGTATTAAAGGCCATTCCTTTATTGGTCCAGCATTGCAATAGAAGGAAATCTAAACTAATCAAACTCTCCAGAGGTTTAGTAATAATGTACTTTCTAATTTGTCCAGTATTAAAACAGGAAATAATTTTGAAACAAATGATAGCGATATTATACATTTATTACACGACGTGAATCATTAAATGTAATATCGCTATGCAGTTGTTTCAAAATTACCCTCAAAAACGTTTTTGATTAATACAGGAGTATAAGATACTGGGGGGATGGTAAATCTGTGGTGTTTGGTAAAATCAAACTGGGAAAAGTTTTCAAACATGTCTGGATATTGCAGGTATTCGAACTCGAATCCCAAAGCTGAAAGACAGCTGCGCCACAAAAATTGAAAGCAGAAAATAAAACGACTCAAAATAGAGAACAGCAAAACCATGTAACGGTACAATAGAACAATCTTTTCAAAACGGACCAAAACATTTTTAAAATGTGTTACATATTTTAAGTTTACTTCTTCTCCGTTGGGCCTGGTTAATATGTCGAAAACAAAACACACTTATTGTATTCTTTTCTACCTTTTTCAGCTGTAAAGTGTGTATGATATAATAAGCAAACTCTTCAATCTTCATCAAAGTTACATCAATATCTCCGTACTTTTCGGTTCCCTCGTCAGGCCAATATTTGTCGCATTTCGGCTGGAAAAGATCAGATACATAAATTATATACATGCAGTATTCCAATATAGAAATAGTGCCGATACTGTATAACATATATAAAGAAAGGGCAGTAAAAACATACTTACCTTTCTAAGTTCAACAAGGGAGGTCACCATCACAATGGAATAACTGCGTTGTTCCCAAACCATTCGCCACATATCATTTAAAGTAACTAAAGTAGGACCTTTCAAAATGAGGAAAGTGAAAAAGATCTTTAATTTGTTCATATTTACTGGAAACAACTGCAATTTATATACAGTCCTATGCTCTATGCTAACACGTACATGCTTCTATAAACCACCTAGCAGTAGCTCACCTTGAGTTGCAATGTATGAGTTTTCCTTGATTCCCTATAAATAGAAAATATTAATTCAATATTAAAGGCACATTTTAATGCACATTAAAGGTACATTCTAGTAAGGGTATACTTTCACTTAAGGGCATTATCAAACTTCAAACCGCCATAAAAAGTCGTTATGTACATAATTATTTATAAGTAAAGTCTTTTTTATGCTTTGCTTTCAATTTTTTTACTTCCATCTCGCAACCTGTACAATCGAATTATAATTGACTCCGGCATATCAAAATTATGTCAGTATTATATGTAGATATATATATATATCGCGAAATACTGTACTACTGTAATTTATAACCGCAGTACCCCACTACGGTGGTGTGGGTATCCTAGATAAATAAATGGGTGTTCTTTTTATGCACTGTGAGGTTTCCTGGGGAACTCGACTTCATTTCGTGGTGTACGTGTGTCTTAAAGTTCTCCAAAACCGACTCAAGGTGATTGTCCAAAGATTGAATTTTATTCTGTTTCGTACTTTTATGAAGTTATGTCATTAGGTAATGGACTGAGGGAAATTAAGGTCTTGATGAGTTTTTAAAAAGGAACTAAGAAAACTAGCTCAATGGGGAAATTAATGAAGAACTTACGTCTATGTAGCTAGCGTTGATGTAGTCGTCCTTTTCATCTCCCGAGAGAACAACGCGACAATGATCATCTAGAATGATCAAAAAACAATCCCATTTAAGATATAACGGCATACAAAATATTGCAATAGTTATGTACACTAATGAAAAGTATGTAAAAATGTCTTATATACTGTACATGTTACGATATTTCCATATCTGTTTTTCTGCTTATTGAACGGCTTCTTAGCCACTTCCCAGGCTGTATTTGTGTTTGAGGGCAAATCCTGTTCCGAGAAATAACAATATAAATTTACCAAAAATACACAATAATGGCTGAACAGGGGTTCAGTGTTCAAAGAATAAATATATATGCCCACTTCTACGATATGCAATTTTCCAAGTGTTTCCGTTACTTACGTCATATTCTTTTTGGAATTCGTAATTTTCGTTTGCTTTCATTTCGTTCACATAATGTTCAAATTCTGCAATCGGAACAGGCGGATGCACGTTTTCCTCGACTTAATAAGAAAATTTAAAATTATTTGCGATTGAAATTGCGGTTCTGTTATTTGTATCGACAGCATCACATACACGGATGCACCCCCAATCTTTCACGAACCTAATCCATCCTATCAACGTTCAATGCATAGATATCTTATATACACTAGATAGTGCATCTAATTATTCTGCAATTCAAAAATTGAAGCCGTGATTGCAGACTCAGGATATTCCCATGAAATGAGAAGACTCGTATGTTTTCTATTTCTTAAACAGGGAACTTAAACATTAAGTTAAACCTATTCCTAATACATTTTCAAATTATTCGGATGATGAAAGTTATTGTTGTTTTTTAAGCGTTTATTAGCGAGTGGGAAAATCCAACATGGCCGCCATCTATTCAAATGGGGGTAACCGCTGGAATATTCTTGGCTCCAATATTACTAAAAGAGATGCGCTATCTAGTGTATATAAGATATCTATGGTTCAATGTGGGAGAAAATCAGAACGCCTGGAGAAAAGCCACGACTTTTCGACAGAGTGTTCACATAGCAAGAATTAGCCATTCCGAAGTTGATGAGTGGACTGGGAACGAGCGTTAAAAAGTGCCCAAATTAAGAAATGAACCAAATCACTAAAAAGACCACCTCAAAATTAGTAAGTATACAAAGTTTGACGACGTTTACATGAATATCCTTCGAATAATAAACTTTCGAAAATGGTGATATTTACTATGAAATGTACAGTGTATTGTAATTTTTGTTTTTGGGACGCGCGTCCCAAAAACAATCTTTTAATCAGTAATTTCACAATTTTCGAAAGCTTATTATTCGAAGGGTATTCATGTAAACGTCTTCAAACTTTGTATACTTACTAATTTTGAGGTGGTCTTTTTAGTCATTTAGTTTATTTCTTAATTTGGGCACTTTTTAACACTCGTCCCCAGTCCTCTCATCAACTTCGGAATGGCTAATAGAACCCCAATCTTAATTAAGGCCCATTTCCGCCGAGGAAAATTTTCCGCAGAAAGAAAATTTTGTAAAATGCGATGGCCGACACAAATTTTCAATCGGAAAAAATTTTCAACTTTTAACAATGATATTTTCGGAGAATTTTCTGTCCGTGGAAATTTTTCTTGAGTGGGAATGGGCTTTTATAGAGGTGAAAGGCGCTTTCTCTGACGACTGCGCCACCTGTCCCAGAAGTCAAATTTGAAGAAACCTTAATAGGGGTCTTTAAACAGCATAAAACGACTGTTTCTGGCAGCAGTTATATTGTTAAAATACGGCATGATGTTTGTGGGCAGTTAATTCCTTTCAGACTCTATTTCAACGTACCATTTTCATTTAAATAAATGCCTTCTTGGTTGTCTTCATCTTTACTAACTCCTTTCATTTCTTTGTCTTTGTCTTCGTGTTGTTCGCTTGCTCTCCTGAGAAAATGTGAAGCATTGAAGAATAAAGGCCGCTGCATGAATGTTAGTAAGAACTTTTAAACTTGGAGGTTCAGGGCTGGTCACGAATTTAAGATTAAGAAACTTTATTTCACGTTATAAGGAGCCGAACAACAGTTGCAGACCACCCTTAAAGAAAACGCCATACTACACTACAGGGTGTATAAAAAAAACTGAACAGATTTGAAATTGGTCTCAATTTCGCAAATCACCTATTTGTATCCGGTTTTTTATATATATATATATAGCTTCTTTGGGTACCTATAATGTAGAATTATGAAAAAATTTCTTGAACTCAAATTTTGTGAACCAGGGGGGTGTGTCTTTTCCAACAAACTAAAAATGACTCGCGCACAAAATTTAAAAGTTGTAATCATATTGTGAGTTAATAGTTGGAAACTTTGTCGGGTTTTTCATTACTGTAGAAAATTTCAGACAATTTGGTTTAGTTTAAGCCCTTTAACTATTCACGCAAAGTTACATTTTTCCTAAAAATCAGCTATTTGCATGCTTAATTAATGCCTTTGCCTAATTTGCATATGTTAGGAACATGCAAATTAGGTAAAGGTATTAATTAAGCATGCGAAAGGCTGATTTTTTAGAATAAAATGAATAGTTGAAGGGCTTAAACTAAACCAAATTGTCT